ACCAAACCTGGTTAACATCAGCATCTTGTGGCTAAAATCAACTAGCAATTTTGGCACCAAGGGGAGGGTGTCAGGGCTGGTTCTGGCCCTCCTGATGTTGGTTTGGTATTACAGTACTTCCAGGCTCGGTGCCAGTTCTCTGTGGAGGGAACACCCACCCGTTTTTTGGTCTGTTTTTTTTTTGTTTTTAAGGCCACGCCAAAAAAAAAAAAGATCTCCATCAGTGTTTGCCCAACAGAAGCTATGTGTTTTATTGGCTGCATTTAATCAACTTCATAGTTGACTTCCATGACTGAGCACATGCTTCTTCTAGCAGCAGTTTAATGACAATGTATTTAATGGTGGGGGAGTGGGTCTTGCTCATGTACAAATATAAGACAAGGGTTTTTTCCTCCCCATGCTGATGGGGAGGGTGAGGGGGTGGAGCGATCCTTGTCTTATATTCCAGTCAATACAGCAGGTAGGATGACACATGGTACAGGATAAATGTTTCTATACTTTAGGGGAATTTTGAGTTGCAGAGTTTACAACCATGTTTTAATAATATGCTATAGTAACAAACCAACAATAATATGATGCAAATGTTAATATATAGTCTTAGACACACGTACCCTACATTTTTTGAGGTGAGGAATTGCTAAACCAGGTAAAGCTTATGTACATATACAAATTGTGATGTAGAGGTAATATGAAAGATGTCTTTAGGAGCCCACAGTAAGGAAGACGAGACCATCAGCATGCATCCACAGATTATTTTACCTGCTTTGGATCCCTTTTCCCTCAAAGCATTGTGTAAATCAAACTAAAGCTAGTTGCTTTATATAATGTTTCCCTCTCCTTTGTTGTCATTTTGTTTAGGTTTATAAATAAAACCATGTTGCGTTAGTCTCTTTCAGTTGTCTGTCTTTAGGATCCCTAATTAAATGATGATTGTGGGAGCCACCCACAAGTGAACCCAAGTAGGTGCCATATGTTAAATAATTCTAAATAATAATCCTAACTCCAAGAACGGCTAGAGATTTAAAAAAATCAAAACTCTGGTCTAGTTTCAACTAAATTGTTATGCACTTTTTTCTGTCATTTTAATGAAAACACATTAAAAGTAAAAGCCGCAGCTCATATTCAGCTGCTTTAGCCTTTTCATAGATTCATAGATGTTAGGGTCAGAAGGGACCTCAATAAATAGATCATCGAGTCCGACCCCCTGCA